ATGTGCATGTGTATGTATGTAGATGTGCATGTGTATGTATGTAGATGGATGTGCATGTGTATTACGTAGATGTGCATGTGTATGTATGTGCATGTGGATGTGCATGTGTATGTATGTATATGGATGTGCATGCGGATGTATGTGAATGTGCATGTGTATTATGTAGATGTGAATGTGTATGTATGTGGATGTGCATGTGTATTATGTAGATGTGCATGTGTATGTATGTAGATGTGTATATGTGTAGATGTGTATGTATGTAGATGTGCATGTGTATGTATGTATATGGATGTGTATGTGTATGTATGTGGATGTGTATGTACATAGATGTGTATGTGTATGTACATAGATGTGCATGTGTATTATGTGAATGTGCCTTTGTATGTATGTAGATGTGCACCTATACATGAAGACCATAGGACAACTTCGCTATTATTTATTCCCAGGCACTGTCTACATGTCTTGTTTGTTTTCTTTTGTTTTGGCCCAGGATCACCAAGAAGGCTAGGCAGTCTGGCTGGCCAGTGAGCCCCAAGGCATCTCTACCTAAACGTATAAGTCTTAAAATGGGTCTTAGCAATTGTTTCAGATGGAAATGAGACCAATACCTAGGAACTGCTTTGCAGAGTGGAAGAAACCAAGAGTCCCTGGGGAGACAGGTGTAAGAGACCTAAACGGTCAAGGACCTGCTTGAGCAGATACTGTGTTTGCTTTGTCATTGCTTTTCATATGCTTGGGATGGAAACCAGGCCTTCTGCAAACTAACCATATACTATACCCCTGAGCCCCACCTCCAGTCACTGACTGAACATTTCTATAAGGAGTAAAGAACCAAATCCCCTCACGGATGCTGATGTATGATGGAGTTTGCTTAAAAAAAACAAATCAGGGGCTGGAGAGAAGGTTCAGAGCTTAAGAGCACTGGCTGCTCTTCCAGAGGTTCTGAATTCAATTCCCAGCAACCACATGGTGGCTCAGAACCATCCATAATGAGATCTGGTGCCCTCTTTTGGTGTGCAAACATGTATGCTGTCAGAACACTGTATATATAGCAAATAAATATTTAAAAAAAAATCAGGAAGACTCCAGACTAGAGAGATAACAGGCAGAGCAGAAGTCAGAGAGCATCCCCCAAGGGGTTAAATACATTTAACCACTTTAATAACACAAACCATTGTAAAATAAGGTCAGCTCCTTTTACAGTTCCTAATGGCATTGATAGGGCTGTGTCTCCTTCAGACCTTGCTACACTGATAGTAAATTACCCATACAATATGAAGGGAAATGGAAAGGGAGGAAAAATAAGGGGAAAAAAATCTACGACTGGGGAACTGGCTTCGTAATTAAGGACAATTTCTGCTCTTGCAGAGGACCATGTTTGGTTCCCAGCACCTGTATCAGGCAGCTCCTGAGAACTTGCCTAGCACACAAGCCCTGCAAGAGGTGGAGGCAGAAGGGTCAAGGGTTTAAGGGTTTTAAGTTCAAAAGCAGCCTGTGCTACATGAGACCATGTCGGAAAAAGAAGAGGGAGGAAGGGGGAGGGAAAGGACACAAGGAGTAGTCAGAGATGAGGAATAGAAATGTGGAGCGAATCCTAAAGCATTTTGAAAGCGAGAGATAAATCACATAAACATGGCCATGGCCATGTATCTTATCGTTTCTAGGAACAACCATGTAAGGCGCAATGCCTGATGTTTAGCACAGTGGTTATGAACTAGGGGATACAGTTCGACAGCCATTTGTTTGCTGGTTTAGCCTTGAACATCTCTATATGTCCTGTAAGTCTGTAAAATGAAGATGGTATCAAGCCTATCTCATGGTCTTTGTGATGTTCACAGAAGGAATGAGTTGGATGTGAAAAGCAATGTGCTCGTTGACCACGGTAATAATCGCCACTCCAGTTCTATTAACAGGAACTAGCCCCGTGGTTTAGTCTGCAGACAACCAGTGTCTACTGCATACCAGCAGACAGCAATGGGAAGAGCAATGGATGACTGCTTGACGCAGAAATCCAAACCAAGTCTTTGTGTGGGCAGTTATCTACCTCCCCATGGACTGGTAGAGTCTACAAACCACAATATCTGAAGTTATGTATTCATTCCTTGCATGACCCATATCCTCCCTCCCTTCTGAGCACAGCTTGACTGGGATGCTGGAAGTTCATCTTTAGTACCTTCGAGGCTCTCTTGCTTCTTTCCTGCCCACATCAGCAACCCACGCTCAGTCTTTAATACACCAGCTGTCCTGGTTAGGATGTCTGTTGCTATGATAAAATACCAGGACCAAAGGCAACTTGGAGAAAAGGATTTATTAACATGTAACAGCTTGCAGTTTATCATCCAGGGAGGTCAGCGCAGGAACACAAGGCAGGAACTGGAGTAGAAATCATGGAGGAATGCTGCTTCCTGGCTTGCTCCTCATGGCTTGCTTAGCCTTATTTTTCTCACCATTCAGGACCACCTGCCCAGGAATGGCACAGCTCACAGTGGGTGGGGCCCTGGGGCCCTCACACATCAATCATTAATCAAGAAAATGCCTAGGGGGCTCTAACTGACCTTCAGCCACACAGTCCCAGCTCAACGGAGCCTTCCAGGAAGTTCTTCATTGGGGGCAACTGAAAGATGAATGAGAGGAAGAAGTGCCTGGGAGAACTCATTTGTATCCTGAACCTTGCTAAGGTGCCCGCAGACACCGAGGTGGTTTATGCACCGCCCCCCACCACACACACCACCTGCATGGACTTTGCCAGGCAGAAGCTAGATCCCAAGGTTGCTGTGGCTGCGCAGAACTGCTACAAAGTGACCAATGGGGCCTTCACTGGGGAGATCAGCCCTGGTATGATCAAAGACTTAGGAGCCACATGGGTAGTGCTGGGGCACTGGGAGAGAAGGCACGTCTTGTCTTTGGGGAGTCGGATGAGCTGACTGGGCAGAAAGTAGCCCATGCCCTAGCTGAGGGGCTCGGAGTGATTGGCTGCATTGGGGAGAAGTTAAATGAAAGGGAAGCTGGCATCACCGAGAAGGTTGTTTTCGATCAAATCAATGTCATCACAGACAATGTGAAGGACTGGAGCAAAGTGGTCCTGGCCTATGAACCTGTATGGGTCATTGGTACGGGCAAGACTGCAACCCCTCAACAGACCCAGGAAGTGCATGAGAGGCTTCGGGGATGGCTGAAATCCAATGTCTCTGATGCGGTGGCTCAGAGCACCGGAATCATTTATGGAGGTTCTGTGACCGGAGCAACCTGCAAAGAGCTGGCAAGCCAGCCTGACGGCTTCCTCGTGGGTGGGGTTTCCCTCAAGCCTGAATTTGTGGACATCATCAATGGCAAACAATAAGCACTGTCCATGCCCATGCCCTCTGCCAGGCCAGGACTAGGTTGCCCAGAAGCTCAGGAACAGCTCCCACCAGTCATGGGCTTCTGATTGTCATCTGCCACATCTTTTGTCCTAATCCACGCTGCACCTTCCCGAACCTTTTACACCTCCCTGTAATGGTTGGGACCAAGCCAATCCCTATACCACCTCACACAATGGTTAGAATGAAATATGTCGCCTGCTTCACCAAGGTGACTTCCTGGCTGGGGGAGGAGGGTGGAACGAGGAGAACTGATTCTGTCCCTGCAGGTGAGGCAGGAAAGTGAAATCACCTTTCCTTCCCTTCTGAGTCAGTGTACACTAAAGTCGAGACCCTCTTGCCCCGTTCCCCTCTTCCACGGTGCCGAAGCCCTAGTACTGTGTTTGTGAACCATCTCACATGTAAGGGAAATAAACACCTGGCCCGGAAGAAAGGAAGGAAGGAAGGAAGGAAGGAAGGAAGGAAGGAAGGAAGGAAG